CATATGGAAGTCTTAACACCTTTCATAAGAATCTAACAGATCCTTATCTAGATGGAAAAAAAATCACATACTTGCCCTTTATTGAGGTTATATACTGTACAAAAATACTATAATCATTAATAAAAAGTGGGAAGCATTCATATGAGGGACTGGTGAGAACTGAAAAAATTAAAGTTTCTTGGTGGAATTAGATCTTTTTTTTCAGATGGAAGTATTTTAAGTAGATACTTCAATAATATATATATGCTTATATAATGGATGTGGAAAAACTACTTAACCGTCCCTTGTTAAATGATGCACCAAAATCACAACTGTATGGACTTCACTCGGCTTAAGGAACTGCCATTTTTGCACTTTAGGTGCTGACATCTCACACAGCATAAAAGAATTTTTCCAAATACTAAGAAATTAATCCTGCTGACCAGAAAAATCTATTCCATTATGCTGATCAAGGCACCACAGGCTAAAAAACTTTATATGCATGATAGCTGTCCAACTTCCTATAAAACAAGTTCTAGCTGCAATGCAGAAGCAGAACTACATTTTAGGAAACGGCTTAACTTGTTTGATTTCCAGAACACAAAATTGCCAATCCATAAGCTCAATTTCCTCTGCTTTCATGAAAGCAAACATTGTCTGTGGGCGTGCAAAACAGGAGCTTTGTGTGAACAGATCAAGATACTAAAAAATTTTTGCAAGTCAAATACGTGTTCTCTATGGCAAGATTTTCTTACACTTGCAGAACAGTACTCTGGGAACAGCAAGGCGACTTAGCAACAACTAGCACTAAGGATGCTAGTTATAATCCAGAGGCACAGTCAAACTGCATATGCCCTGTGCCTGGAGACTCGAAAACTTCATTTTGCAGTAGTTAGAAAAGCATGCAGACTGTCTCTCTCCTTCTCTCCCCCACCCCTTCCTTCTCCCATTCTCACGTTCTTGGTGTGTGAGCATATGAGGAGTATGATCAGCACCGTTCCAGTTCCATTTTAATCACAGAAAAAAAACCTTGTCTGTGAAGAAAAATAGTACTTGGTCAAATTCTGCTAGTTAACAGACAATCTTTGAGAGGCAGTCAATCACCACTGAGCACTCGCATTGTAACACTGCTTCACCCTAGAAGCTGCAGGGAAGACTCAGTGCAACGTGGCTGAGGAGTTTTTAAGAGAGTGAAGGACTTCTTCACAACTCAATCCAAGAAGAGAAGTTCCTTCAAAAGGGGGATCTTCTATAGGTAGTTGTATTTTCTTTTAATCTTTCTGCTTTGCATCCAGCATAGGTGGTATACAGCAACTGAGGCAACCAAATAAGCTCAAATCTGTTCTATGTTGTGTGTTGTTTGGCAAAATGGGTGTGGAGAGAGGGAGGAACAGCTACGGATGCTGCAGCGGGAACTCTCCAGGGCAGGCAAGGGTGTAGTCGCTTTGTACCAAATTTTTTGTGGACATACATACAGTAGTGAGGAAAGAAGGTGGGAGCAGGGAGAGCAGAAGCTGTGTGCGCACTTAAAGATATTACTAACATTATTCACTAGGCAGCTCTGAAAGCTAAAGTATAGATGTACTTACAGTGTTAATGTGCAGGATAGATGATGAGAGAGAGTATTTGTTATGTGAACAACATAGTCTTCTTGTTAGTCTTCTCATATAATCAGGATACAGGTAAGACTTTGAAACGTGGTGGGAAGAGAACCTAAACCCTCCCTTGCACACTTCCCAGCTTTCTCGCTGGTTTCACCCTTCAACCTATCTGCTGAAATGAACAATTTTATTTAACGCTAATATTTAAGTGTCATCATTAAGTGCTAGTATGAGGTAATCTCTCCCCGAGAGCTGTTTCAGGCTATCTACAGGTTCCACAAGACCACACTACTGCCTTACTTTAAATTCACAGGGATGAAAGTAGCAGTAAAAACGTATAGTGTCATCTCTTACCAATAACACAACCAAATTCCCCAGGCAGATTTTGGAATTGCCTGTTTACAAAAGTATCTTTACTGACTCTGTCATTGCAGCCTTACCGCTTGTGCAGGTATGGAATAACAATATTCGTGAAGAGTACAATTAGTAACAATGTATAATAGAGTGCATTATCCCCTGAAAATATGAAGTCTAAGATTTTAGTGCATTCAAAAACGCTTAGTAGTAGTGGATACTTTTTATAAACTCAAGAGTTTCATAGTAACATAGAATAGAACATTAATTCGTAGTTACTGAGAAAGTAATTTTCGGGTGGTTTTATCTGTAAGAACAACAGAAGTTTTCAGATCTGCACTCATGAAGACTGACATTCTTGTTTTATTTAAATCGGATGTACCTCACCAGGTGGCCAGTTTAATCTGATTCCTATTCATGGGACAGAGTCCCTTGCTGATGGAAAAGTTCAGTCAAGGTATATAATTCAAATTGGTTTACCTGCTAACACTTAACTTTTTTACAGTTCGTACTCCTGAGGACATTTCTCCAACAGATGTGTCACCAGAAAAAGCTAATTTCAAATAAATACGTTGCTGTTTAAAAACTCTTCCCCATCATACTAGATCACAGGCTCATCTTTCTTAGAAATTATCTTTTCTAAATGTAAATGTTTAAAATTACTAAGATGAATTCCAAGAAAAAAAATTAATGCTAAAGAGGCAGCTTGACTTGTCTCACATATTTCTATCTTACTAATATAGTAAATATATTTGAGGCTCTCAAATACTAATCCACCTTGCCATCAGTAGTAGTATTCGTGACAAAACCATTGTTCAGAATTAAACAGCATTTCCATCCAGGTTTTATTTTTCTGTTCTTATACAAGTAAAATGTGTACCTATAGATGAAACATTTTTGCAAACCATTCACTTTCTAATTTTGACTTTTACAAATTAAGGCATTACTGGAGCAAAAAGAAAGCACAGTCTCTGATGGTTACTATTTGGCTACATGAGGCTTTGCAGGGATGACAATTATCTCAAGAATGTTAGATTATTTGAACTCAGATCTCATAACAACAGGATTGTGTCACATTGATTTTGACAGTGTTTTGTCAAAGGTTTGTTAATAATTCAAACTTTTCACATTTGTCAGCTAACTGGTGTTTTACTGCTACAGGAGCTTACAGATAATGTAAACAGGTTTCAATTACATTTACAATATTTCCATGCATTTTAATTTGCTTTTCATTCAGCTTGAACAATGAAAACGTATAGACTAGGCAAAAATCTATTTCTACTATCCAAAATCTAGGCACTAGACACCAAGTTAATAGCATTGCAGAGGAATAATTAAATTTTCCCCTGAAGTTAGACTTCTCTGAGACAATTGTATTAATATTAATGTTTCACTGTCTGCTGTAAGTAAAAATTGCAGCCCAGCATGATGAAAATACTCCTTTTCAAGTGGAGCATCAGTAACCCATGAAAGAAGGACAGGATCTGCCAAGTGCTTTTATGCAATATTCATTTATATGATAGCTGGAGTTCTAGTATTACACAACCCAAAAAATGCCTAAAGAACTTCCTCTATAAGAAGCATGAGAAAAATTTCCAGAAATACTACCAGATTTTTTTAAGTCTGTGCTTAAAAATAAAAATTATTTAAGTAGTTTTTGTTTAGTCCTTTCCTATCTGCCATTCTGTAATTGGTAGGACTTTTCTCCCTTTCCTAAGTGTCATTTAAAATTCACATACAGAGTGTGTGCTCTGTCAGTAAAGTTTCATTTTCAGAGAACAAATCACTGTATCCCTGGATAAGAGTTCTTCACCACAGAAAAGCCAGGATGCGCTTTTGGTTCCAATGATCAACAGAAATTTATGTCAGCCTCATGAAAACATAATACAAAAGACTCATCTTGCCATGTTGACATTAACTTATAAAACAAAGATATAGCATAAAAATTATGGAAACACTGTACAAAAAAATCAGTGAGATGCTAATTAGAACGGAAATTCTTGACTTCTACTGCTGTAAAAATGCATAAAGTGTAAACTAAGGTAACAGGAGAGTATGCCAAATTTTATTCATATTTTTAAATGTAAAGATGATTCGGGAAGATTTATTAAATATACCAGTGAGACTGTTGTTTGAGTGGATTCTACTATTATCCATATTCATTGACTATCCAATTACAGTAGGTCTTCTTATTTAAGAAGGAGCAATGTCTTCTGTAAAACTGTGTGCAATCAGAATGAGATTTTTGTGCTCAAAATACAACTTCAATGTTTCTGACAGGTGTTTAGTGCAGATACAGAATGACTGTGTGCTTTAGAGGCGTATCTGGTATACTAAGCTTCATTGTATAGCCAGTCTATTTTATCAAGGAAGCCCGAGCTACAAAAGCTAAATATTTTTTATTGTTTTATACTATTAAAGTAATGTTATAAAAATAAAGTACCAACATAATTTCATTTACAACAGGAAAAAAAGCAGCCTTATTATACTTGGCTCAAAGTCCGTATCTATATAAAGAAGTTTAACTAAGCTAAAAAAAAAAAAACCCAACCCCAAGAACCCTCAGTTCATTAAACATGAGGTTCTCTGGTTTTCTTTTATATTCACTGTAGCACTATCTTTAAAGTATAACCCCCCTTTTGAAATGCACTTTAGCTAGTTATTTCATGACTCGTGGTTTTTAGATCATCCATTCTACACGGTCATGTTACCATACAGAATTATTACATACAAAACTCCAGCTATTTAACATGTACACAAAAGTGATGAATCTCAGGCTTTAAGAATATAACGCATCCAGTATGCCCAAGCAAAGTCCTTGCAGGTCACAAGGAACATCAAAGCACTGGCTGGTGTTTTATACTGTATGGTGAACATAAGTGGACAAAAAATGTTTTCTTGGCAGCAGGCCATTGAAAAAAAACCTGAACCATCCATCGAATACTAATACATATAAGCCTTCACGGTTGCTCCTGATATAAGTTTTAAATGTGAAATACCAATTTGAAATGGTAAGACGCTGCATAAAAATGGGTTTCTTCTAAAAACGTGCTGGATCCTTCCAAGTCACACCCAGGGTTTCCATCCAGGAAAGAGTCGGCTCAGATTTTTAGGGTCCATGGCCTGCTGTATGAGGAGGTTCACCTGCCCTCCCACACTGAGCACTGTTCCCTCCTCAACACCTTTCAGCTTCTCCTGAAGTCTCATCAGAACACGCTCAGCCACTTTGTTAAAGCTCTGGTCATCACTGCTGGCAGAATAAAAGAAGAAAAACAGGTGCACTAGATGTGGATCATGAACAACATGAGCAACATTCAGTAAGAAAACCGTAAAGCAAGGCAACAGTGCATTAGGCAGACAGTAAGAAAAACATATTGCACCTGGCTTTTCTTTTACATTCTTGTGGATCAGCATTGAGTGTAGAGCTCATGTCAGCCTCATCCTCTGGTCTCTGCTGCAAATACAAAGCTTTCAAGGGGTTCATGGTCCAGTCGAAAAGAGGATCATAAAGCAGCACCTACACAGTAAATAAACCTCTATTTAATTTAAACTGTTAACCACAGCTATTCCAGTGCCCCAGCAGGAAGAGAAACACTCAGTTGGTAATGCTCATGCTAACCACAACACTAGGACCCTTTTTTTTTAAAAAATCCAATAGAATTGGGCTAAATTGCTTAATAGACAATCCAACAATAAAACTGTATCTGATCATTTGCAGGTATTTGCATTGTTCATACTTGACTCAGTTTTGCCACTCAGTACCATCTCAGCAATGAAGAGGTCATTTTTTAATACACTTCTAAGCACATCATTATTTTTTAATGCATAGTATAAGCTGCTTTTGAAGTCAGTTTAATTCTCATCTTTGTGACTTACGCAAAGAGGAGTTAATTCAATTGGCACTACCCGTGCTAGGAATGTTGTACTATGGCTAGAAGTGTTTAGATACTGAAGAGGGAAAACTGCATATGCCTGAAACGAATAGTTCCCATACAAAATGCAAACTGGTCTTGATTTTATTGAAGATTACATGAATTAACAAATCCAACCAACACTACTAAATTAAAATTGAACAAAAAAACCCTCATGAACATTTGGTATAGTAATGCATATGAAGACAAAGACAAGAAACTGAAGATACTCTGGCAGGTTACTATGAGAAAGAATGAAAAAATGCTTACCTCTACAATAGTCAGCAAAGCTTCTTGAGAATTTCTCATAACAGCCATTGTTTTCTCACAGCATCTAGAAAATATTTTGCTGTATTTTTAGGCTCTTTTCAGTAAAATGGAATGGTATTTTCATCATTTAAATGATAGATATTTGTGCCCTTCTTGAAGCTCAATTTCTAACAAATGAGTAGCCTCTCTGATGTTTCCATTTTGGAAAAAAAAAAACGGAGAAATTTAGAAATTTAAGACCAGAAGGTAGTTCACTGATTATATTCCCTAGGGGAAAGAAATTACCCGTTTCACTGTCTGAAATGTTTCTATACATAGAATTAACCACTGAGTTAGCACAGATCAGTGAGGTATGCCATGATGGCAGAATTGCTTGGCTGGATGAAAATATGTGTACCAGAGGAGCTTGGCAACACATTGGAGAATGTCGGTAGGGTTCCTTAACATGAAATGAGCAGATCCAGTAGCCAGAGACATTAAGCTATTTCTGAAATCTCTCCAATGAGTTTAGATGCAGAAATGGCTACCTACCTTCACTCCCAAGTAAACTAAGCTTGTGGAAGGAATACGAAACTTTCCTTATGGGACAGGTACTCCACTGAAAGAGGGATTAGGCCTCCTGTCTACTTCAGGATGAGAACACACACAACAAAATCAACTGACTATGTTCACACCCAATCCTGAGATGACTTGTTTATGCACTCACACCTATACTATTAATTACAAGTCCGTCTGGCTGAGGCAGAAAGAGTATCTGCACCAGTGCCTTTTATACTGTATTTACTTCAGCTGGAGCCAAACAATTCATGTTTTTCTGTATCATGCGACAAAAGTTTCAGAAATAACATGAAACTCTGAACTTGACAGCATCATGTTTAGAATAGAAGTGGCAGTGACTGTTCCTTCACAGGACAAAGGTGTATCAGGAACTACTTATTAACATTAATTGCTACCTTAAAAACACTTACACTATGTACTTTTTTAAAGACATGAAATTTGGGGTTTGCAAGCACCATGTTCATGAACATCATGAATGAGAGAAATGTCCTGCTTTTTAGGGCTTTCTTGGGTCATTCACAGGAGATAGGATGGAGGTTGACAGAAACTCAGCCCTTTGGGGATTTTTCTGTTTTGCAGCTCAAATCTATTGTGGGATTTATATTTTTGCACTTGCAAAGTGATATCAAATATATGATCCAAAAGAGGAAAAAGACTGCAAATTACTTACATAAAACTGAACAGAAATAAGAGACAGAACAAAATGATTCAAAGAAACTTAATAGCTCCGAATATATAGTATAGCTCTGAAAGAAATACATAGTTCGGAAGGAAAAAAATCCAGCAGTCTAAATCAAGGGATGAAATTTAGCTGTGGAGCCTTTGGAAGCACTGAGCCACCCCTGAATTCCACAAGAGAGTGACAATAACCCATTAGTTAGTGAAGAATATGAAAAGCTGAGCAACAATAATGAACCTGTAATTGGTTATATAAATAAGAACGTATAAGTTAGAGGACAGCATTTAGGTTTGGATATTATCAGCAGAAATCTGAGTCTCCTCTTAAGCATGAGAACTGTTTAACATGTAACAATCATAACGCCGAAAGTACTCTGCTGCCTCCTTACCCCTATGCAATATAGGAGCACTTACCTTCTGAAGACTCCTTCCACGCCAGTAATACCCATTCCGTCCACAATGTCCCTGGTTAATCTAAATGGAACAGTCTCTGGTGTAGGAAGGATTTTACCTTGCTCGAAAGCAACCCCTAAATGAAAGGATAATAAATGTTTTAAAAAAATGTTAAAGTAAAGAAAAATTAAGGTTCTTATGTTTGTCTCACTTACCCAGATCTATATGCACTAGTTCTGCCGTTTGTTCATCTATCAAGATATTCTGAACATGTCTGTCTCCAAGTCCAAGAATGTAGCCAACTAAAAGAAAAGGTAAGTGCTGAAACCATATTTACATGCCATAAAAACCAGGGAAAATTTAACGCAGAGAAGATTATTAGAATCAATGTAACACGTGCAAACAAATCAAAAGTGAGAATATTTCTTCCCCCACGTATACATATTACTCCAGTAAAGAGCAAATGCCATTCCACAAATCCAAAAATAAAAGGTTAACTGAATGCAATTGTAAAAAGGTTATTCTCATACAGATGTGTATTGTTTTATCTGCTCCACAGACTTCTTGCCCATTTCTCTCTGTAGATAGGTTAACCAAACAATTTCACAGCTTTCAAAAAAAAAAAAAAAAAAGATAAAAAGCAAGGGCACAATAAAACTAGGGTTTGTTATTATTACTGTTTTTAAGAAAACCTTTTAACTCACAGTATCATATAATCAGGAAAACAGGACTGGACATAATTCAGTCCATAACTCAGTTGGGGCAGCTCAACTATACCTAATAGTTCCTGAATGATTTTTGTCTAAGTCAGTTTTAAAAACCTCCAGTGATGCAAATTATAACATCTTTCATGTAAGCCTGTTTCAGTGCTTTACTGTCCTTAAATGTAGAAACCCTCCAAATTAAATCTCGCTTGCTGCCATTTACGCCTGTTACTATTTTTTTATTAGCTGATGGACACGGATAGCAGTAGTATTTCCTACAAAAATCTTTCATCTGAATTCTGCTAAACTGTAGATTTACTTCACTTTTTTTCAGCAAAAAAGGGGGTGTATAAACAACATGCTAACATCTAAAATAGGATCTACTGTAATGTATACAATCTACTATCAAATGTCTTCCAGAGACTCAATACAGAATTGAGTCATCCAAAGGAAATCCATAATCCAAGTACCTATATTTCCTTATTAAGACAGAAAAATCAAAGGAAAAATGCCAAAGCTTAAAAAAACATTTCAGCCATGGCTAATGATGCCAGTACAAAAAAAGTAAAAGATTAAGCTTTTCAACTCAGTTAAAACATTTGAGGCTACAGACGAAATGAATAAATGTTAAATCAAAACAACAGAATTAATCAGGTAGGAACTTTAAAAAAACTACCAGAACCTAAAAATACAAACCACTATTTAAAGCAAAGAAACACAGAATTTCATTCTGTCTTTCTACTGCAGAAAGGGATGGTGGGGGGGGAATGAATCAGAAATCTTAATTACAAAAATAATGCTGGTCTACTTGCTGGCATTTTTTGCCCCCTACTCCTCCTTTTCTGACACGTGACAAAAGCAGAATAGCCATTACCTCTGAAATGGTATAAACTCTTTGTTTACATAATCTAAAAAGTCAATGTTAATAATCCAATATAATACCTATAGAAGATGTAGCCACACTGCGAGTGTATGCCAATCGTTTTTCAAACCACACAGCTGGATCCAGGAATTTTTCCATGCAGAAGTAACGAAACACAGGCTGAAAGTTCTCGCAGACTGTCATGAAGATGTTGTATTTCTCTTCAAAATGTTTCTTTTGTGCATCCTTTAAACAAGTAAGAAATGTTTTTCCCGTGACTGACTACTTTGAAAAGAAATTACCTCTTCCTTTGGAAGAAATACACTTCTCCTTTTTTCTCCTCTCCCCTCCATCAAATGCTGTTCTCACTCCTTTCTCTCTCTGAGCTATGAATTAATGTCTTTTTTACAGCAATCATTAATGCACCTCTCTATCTGTTTTACTAAACAATTGTATTTTCATACGCAACTCATGGGCTACATGTAAAAAGCACTCTCCTGTTTCTTTGGGTCAGCAAGTGTATCTGTTTTACATGCCTGTACAAGTAAATGCATCTTGTTGTGAGATACTTCCCCTTGCACTCTGCTCTGGTACTTTTGCTTATCTGATGGGTCATGACACAGTGAGAAAGTAATTCTCACTCATTCACATGCAAAAGCTGCACAAAGCCAAAATTAAATATACTTTCATCCTGTTAGTACTATACAGATTTAAAAGGAAATGATTTCTTGCACAGACATGGTGATATAAAGTAAAATTTGCAATTTTCTAAACGTATGGTGGAACTAAACTAAACCAGCTGAATCCACCTAGCAGCTAGCTACCATCACAAGAAAGAACTTTCTCCTACTTGTATGTACTGAACCAGATATTCTTCTGCCAGTTTATATAAGGTTAATCTTCTTTTGGCTTAGCTCCCTGAACTGACTCACTGTGGGGGGCAGAGGGTACATGGCTGTCACGGTGGAGGAAAAGCCAGACCCCTTCACACTGTCTAACAGCAATTAAGACATTACATTAATCTCAGCTGCATTCTTAAACCATATTTTCATTTTCAAGGACTAGTATTTAGAATTTTGGTTTATTCATGAAAATAAAATTATTTTTCAATGCAATGAGAAACATGACAAATATACATTAAATCTGTAAGATAACTTTATACTGACTGTTGGGTTTCTGTAACGATCATTTTGGAATTCCAATAGATTTATATTCTAGAAAGGAGTTCACATACTTCTTGGAGATTCAGCTGTATTCAAATCTTTCCTGCAACAGTGATTCATTTAGCAATTTCTGATTTTGTAAAATCTCTTCCCAGGCTGCATTCAGATTAGTCTGAAGAACTACTAATTCCATGCCACTGGTCATGTTCATTATTATATACTAAAAGCATAGCATATAATTCTCCATAAATACATAAAACCCCCAACCTTCTGCGTAAAAGAATATAAGCCAGATATTTTTCTTTAATTATTTTGACTCACCATCATTATTTTCTGACACTGATAACCTGAGTAATCTTGTGGCCTGTATCTCTTGTGAGCTCCCTCTTCGACATTCACAAGAAACTCCCCAATGGGAGTTGTTCCCGAGCACCACTCAAGAACACCACTTCTCTGAGAAAGGGGAACCACCTGTAAAAACAAAACCACTGCTGCATGGGGGAGGGTTATACACACACAACTATGAATATGCATGCTGCAGAGCATGGGTGCATATTTGTGTTTGTTTAAAAAGAAAAAAGACCAAACCATACATCTGACCACAATACATGTTCGAAACACACATGTATACATATATAAAATACACTCAAGGTTTTTCTATCAAATACTTGTACATTTCTTCCAAGCCCAGAGAACCTTCCACTGGGTACTTCAGTACAACTTAATGACTATACTTAATTTGCATGTTTGCATTGGTATTCTGGATGACCTGTGATTGCCAACAGCTTGCTATGCTTGAATGGGATAACACAAGCATTGTGTGAACTGCACATAAAAAGTAAAATCTGGAACAAACACATGGTAGCTGCGTGAACATATTAGGCTTGTCTTAGTCTGCTTCCCATCCTAGGGAACAGTTTCTCACTTCGTAACTGGCTGTAATAGTTACCTCAGTTGCTGTAGCAGGCAGAACTGGCCAGAATGAACGATCTCCTGTCCTCAGAGAAACAGCTACTGCCTGTTTCCTTCAATTTTCTTTTCTTATGAGAGTCTCTTTATCTCATAAGGCAACCCCCATTCTCTTTTTACCTGCTGTCATTCATTTTTACACACATAGAAACTTGAGGCTTCATTGAAAATTATTTTTAAAAAGTGACTCTTAACTCCACCTGTGAATTCTTAAAACTATGCTAGCAATTCAGATAAGCTCCTTCAGAGATTCTGGAGTGAACATTTCTCATTTGTCAAAGACAAGAACTTTTACTTAAAGAATTCTTATTCCGAGGTCACCTTCATAGCTACTATCATAAACCCAAGCACATAAAAAGGAAGGAGGAGGGGAAAGTTCCTGTTCAAATAAATTTTCTGCATTCACAGTAAGAATTTATTCCTGTATTCCCAATTCCAAAAAAAACAGTTCTGCAATTCACATTCTGCATGAACAGACCCTAGATGGGACTTCTGGATTCAACTGTAAGGAATACTGCAAGACTAAAATTAATTACTAATTAATTAAGGAATATCTCAAGGTTAAAATTAATGAGAATTCATAAACAAGCTCGTATGCTCAAGTTTAATAACTAGCAACCCAAGTTTAATAACTAGCAACTTACAATTCAAGGACAGTGCATGGCTTAATTTCTTTTCAATTATGAGTTCATATAAAGAAAGCTTTGAAGAGTATTTAAATATATATTTGGCATCAGAATTTTTTTTAAAGATTTAGAAAAAATTAAATTGTAATAATTGTTGTAATTGTAATAATTAAATTGTATTAATTGTTCATTCCATATCTGAAGGAGCAGTGACTATTTTAAAAACACATAACTAAATGTATTTTTGTATTGTCTTTGGGTTAAAAGGAGGAGAATGGGAAATATGCTTTATCAGTAGCATTTATTCCTCTGCTGCAGCAGCTGTTCAGGGTTACCTTGTATCTTCGGATAGTTAATTTTCTCTTTCGTGTTTCAGTGTTTTGCTGGAGCAATGTATTGCACATCTGGAAAACCTGCTGCATAACAGCATCTTGTCTCAGGTCATCACGCCCCTTTATCATAAACAGAAAAAGCAGTTAAAGAACACTTTTCAGCATCCAACTTCTTGTTCAGCAACTTTAAAAAATTATTTTAAAAAATTCCACAAAACACAAATTACTTTTCCACAATAATAACCTGTAATAAAAAGTAATTAACAATTGTTTTTTCTCTGTATTTGGTTTTCTAATAGTGCTCAGCTGCTTAAGCAGAACTATCATTAACTTAAATCATCACCTTTTTCTTCTTTTTTCCGACAAATATTATTTGATTAAGGTTTCAATCAACCTACATGCCTTATGGTAGCCTTTTAAAAAATAGATGTTTCATTCACCATATTCAGCAATCCAGCACACAGCTGAAGCAGCATCAGTTGGTACTGCAGTTCTGATTACTGGATGCAGATCTAGTGATTCATGCTTCTCTTTAAAACTGTCAAAATTACCCCATACTTAACAGCAAAACAGAATTCTTGCAGCAGCTGCTGCATGTTTACATTCAAAGACAGACAGAATGAAATCAATTGAGTTGAAAGAGAAATACATTTTTTTGAGAGATTTGTGTTTATATGTGCATGTTTTTGACTGTCTCTGAATTGTCATCCTTTTTATATAGGGAAGAAAGAAAAAAGGAGGTATTTAACACAAAATGTTGATGGCTTTTATTTGCTGTACGCTCCAGGTCACTAGTTGAGACATGACCACGCAAGTCACACGTCTGATAGTTGTCAGGTAAGCTACTGTGTATTACATGCATTGTTGAAAAATAATTACAAAAATATTTAATATTATTACTTATTATTATATTATATTAGTATTTATATTATATTATTTTATATTCCTTATTATTACTTTGTAATTTCCTTTATTAAAGCATTTCTGAACTGAGAAAACTGACACTGAACCGTGAAAAGTGTGCTCATGGTACAGAAGCGATACATGAGAAAACTGACATGAGACCTTAAAAAAAATTCTAACATGCCAAGTCTCTGAGATGTCATCACAACTGACAGAACCTACCTTAACCAGCTGCCTCCTTTCTTTACCATCTGATCCTACACAATCTATTATTTTAGGCAGATTCAGGCCTCCTGCTAACCGAAATTCTGGCTTAAAAGACCTTATTGTCACCAAATTTTCATATCGTCCTGTGGGATCCACCTGAAATTATAAATTAGTTTAAAATTAATATAAATATTACCTCCATTTCACTCAGAGAAAGTGGTAATGAGTTGTTTGCAAACCTCGTTAGCAGACTACATGCTAAATATTAATATAAGCATTCCATCATCTACAAGGATAATACCCACAAAGGCTACAAATATAGGCTGAGCAAAGGAGTGAGTTCGATTCCTCCTTGTTCACCTCATTGGTAGAGGGGACCTGGTGCTGCAGACTTCCACTAAACAAGCTCTGACACAATTCCAGCCTGTCCCAACTAGCATTCTTTCAAGAAAATGTTCATGTACAGTTTGGGGGCATTAGTCTTACATTAGGCTGCAAATCAACCCAATCTACAATCTTAGAACTGTTGCAACCTACAGGATCTGTATCTTCAGCCATCCTCCATATCCTCATGCCACAAAGCAACCCTAGTCAGCTCTAAGGAAATATCGTTCCAGCTGCTTACATGACAGACCTCCAACTATTTCAGATAGTTTGTACTGGAGAAGAAGAAAGGCAAAGAAAAGGACAATCAAGTCATACAAAGGAGCAACACCTGGGGCCAACAGGAGCCCTACAAACAAATGCTATTTAGCATGCGTGGCAATTTCTGGCCTCTGAAGTCAAATGGCATAATGTCCCTTGGCTTGTTTTATTTAGCTTTATAGACATAGCCTGAGGGACTTCAACATAGGAAGTTGGGCTTCATAACATGTAAATTTTAGATGGCTGGCCCAAAAAGCAACTCTACACTCCTGAAACCGGTAAGTTTCCCAGGTAGAGTGTGTGGCATCTAAGAATGAGTGCCTATGCACCCATCCAATCAACCACTTATGCTAATGGGAATGGATCATTCACCATTATTGAATGGTAAAAACACGTAAGCTGGCCATTTAGGAACAGCCAAAGAGGCATACCTATTAATTCTCACAACTTTCTGGACATTAAATGCCTCCCTGAAACTCTGAGCTGGCACCTACAAAAATAAGATCCTTTCTGTGATTTAGATAGCTCATCACCCCTTTTGATAACGAAAAACTAGTCACAGTGGTAACAGTGGCAGTGTGAAAACCATCTTCATACAATATGCCACTATCCAGCAAATGTAAGACTTGGGGTCAAGGTCAAAGTCTTCTAAAGCCTAAGGAAAAGCATCTCACGCTGCATCTCCCACCTGACAGGGGAGTACCCCTGGCTGACCTGTAAAGAACATCGGAATTTGATGAAGACATATACACCCTGACTGTCATTATAAAAATTTGAAGTTGATTCTAAGATTTTATATTATAGCGTGTATTTATTTCAACTTCAGTCACCTTAATTTCCATGGTAGGAACAACAACATCCTCCAAGTTCTTCAGTTTAATAATTGGCTGGTCAGCTGGAATACTTATTCCTTCTGTAATTAAAAGGAATTAGTATTTTTAAATTCAGAACTATAAACATACATCAAAGTTCACAAAAACCAGCTTACATTGCTTTTGGGACCCAAAACCTCACTGTATGCTTCTGTCAAGCTGATGAAGATGACGACAGGACAACTGGAGTTTTCTGGAGTTTCATACTCAGAAAGTCTGAACCTTACAGTGCAAGTAATTACTACGACTTTTAATCCAGACTAAGTTCTACATTTACCAAAAACAGGACATGGTGCTAGCGCAGTATCTCCTTTAACTAAATATCAATATTTAGAAATATACTTATTAATCCAATAAAATATATCTTCACTATTAAAAACAAAAATCATTATTCCAAGACTTACTTCTTTGAGATTTCCATGGAGTAGCATCTACATTTGCTAGTGTGATGTAAGCATCACAAAGTGCTTCAACGTCTCTAACCATATGAGCTCTCCTTTTTCTTACGACATTGATTATATTGCTAGCAGCCTCCATTCTGTCCTAAAAAACCCCAACGGAATACAAATATCAGAGCTTGCAAACTACACCTTGTAAGATTAAAGATGCATCATAACATGCAGTCAAATAAGTACAATTGAGATACATCCTATGAAAACAGAGAAAATTGCAATATTGGACAGCCCTTTGTGATATGAACAGAAATAATTTGAAGAAAAGTTCTGTGTTGTCTAATCTGAGATAATAAATAAAGTAAAATATTATTGGGGATGGAGAGGGAGCAAATCTGTCCAGGCAAAGTGCAAAAAACCTGCAAAAATCCTTCAGAAAAAGGGACAGGCAGTTTTGGATGTTCTTCCACCACCTTCCTGCTTCCATTATTTCCTCCCAACTGAAGAAAAAGCCTGTATGCAAAAGGCAAAAACCTGACCATGTGTCCTTTCTGTGCCTAACTCTGAGACACTTAGTTGAGGTTAGCATAATCCTACTCCTAAGGGTGGGACCACAAAAGAACTACTAGTCTGACAGAAAGGTGAAAAAAAGCCACATAAAAATGTGGTGAAAAATTGTATCAGTGTGGGGGGTCAGAGGGTAATGACAACCAACCATGCCAGCCTATAGTGATGGGGGACAGAAGGGGCATTAATCTAGATATGAGATGATTCCAAAGACAGGTTCCAACAAAAATTAAGCAGTAACAACATTAACATGAAGCCACAGTTCAGTATTACCCATCACCATGGCTTTTAACATATAAAGGTCATATAAAGGAACAAAAGATACACTGCACAAGGCTAAATACTTAGATAGAACAGCTGTTATCACTCAAAGCAGGAAAAATACTCAATTCAGCATATACTTTTAGCAGCTGTTATCACTCAAAGCAGGAAAAATACTCAATTCAGTATGTACTTTTAACAATACACCCACTCAAGTCTTTGTTGCATCTAAAATGCCTTTTACAGAATCACACATCAAAGACATTTATCACAAAACTCTTCGCAATAATCGGGGCTATTTGTTGCAGGAAATGTTAACCGTATTTTGTTCAACACCGTAATTAGTTCTTTCAATAATAATTACCAATGTATGCACAAAAGGAGGGGAGTTTTATTATTAAAAGTACTTTTTTCCTCCTACTCTTTCTTAACAAAAGTCAGCTGATGAGCTCTACACTAAAATACCCCTTGACATAATTTTTTTCATTTTTTTAACAAAACAAAAGGACTGAATGTGATTAATAGAACAGAATTTTTTGTAGTCACCACATCAAGCTGGGAGATTTCTTTTGGTGCATTTTTAATTAACTTATTTCTTCTTATTGCATCTGGTTTTGTGAGGAGTTCATCTTTGTTAGCATTTGCCAAAGCTAATATTACAAACAAAGTATGATGTGGATGATCCAGTGAAATTCTAGACATTAGCTGTCAAGAAAAACAAAAAGATCCCATTACTGAAAACTGTACAGAAGAAAAAAATTTACTTAAGTAACATTATTAATGCTTTTGAACTTCTCAGGTTCCTAATATGAAATAAAAAGTAAAACTTAGATGGTATTTCCACAACTAAAATACATTCGAAGTATATTCCTATACCTGCATAAGACTATTCTTCACAACAAGAAAATCAGTTAAGTAGCAAGGAAAAACGTTCCCAATCCTCTCCCCTGCCACACTGATTTTGCATCACTCATTTTTAATACACCTTTATCACCTACATAACTCATTTAGCTATAACTGCACAAAGGAAGATACATTTTGTTTAGAAGTATGCACTACTAAGCCAATCAAGATGTCTTTAGATACAAAAAGCATAAATTACATTATTGAGAACTTCATGAAATCCTAAACCACCCATTATCTTGGTTCCCATCCGAGCAGCCAGCTGGTACATCAGAGGCAAAAACTTGTATGAAGGGATCTTCTCTGCATTTTTCTGTAGTAGAGAAAATTCAGTTAGAAAGCTGTACTAAACACCACAAAAAAATTGCAATCATAAAATACCAGGTAAGGGCTAGCAATTTTGGTTTTGCTTTTTTTTTTAAACTGAGAGTAATCATTGCTGTGTGATCAAATGGCAATCCAGTGAGTATCACATCATCTTGGTCCATGTCTCCTGAATACTACAAGTCCTCCATAAGAAAACTACTATTTTCTATTCTAATAGAGCAGAGCTTAGATATATTGATTCAGAATTCACTTCTAGATTCTTTGCAGCAAGAGACAATTCTAATTAAAAAAAAAATACAATCTAGTTTATGACAAGAAACAATTGTGTGTTAAAAATATGAGTAAAGGAACACTTTCTATTTTTCAAAGTTAATTATAACACAAAGCGAAGAATTAAATTATACAGAACTCTGTTATAAACAGATCATTCAGGTAAGAATTAACAGATTTCCTGCACGATCCTAGAAGTGATAGACCCAGCCTAAGAATGAGAATTTTGGTCCCTGGTCCCTGGCTACTGTGTTATAGAAACAACCTAAAAGCACATTCTTTCACCTAAAAGTATATATAATATAAACTAGAATAACACACTAAAGAATGTTGAAGATGGGTAGTATCCAGGGTATGTAAAGAACAAGGTGACAACAGTGGAAGATCATGAGATATGCTTAATCATACACACTTGTCAAATTAAAATGCTAAATTAAATTAAGTTAAATTAAAATGTATTGACAATTACAGCGCGCTCTGATGAAAAACTAACTGATGAGCAATGATGACTGAAAAAAGCGAGTTTTGAGGGAAAAGTTGAGGAGATACATAGGAAAGCATACTGCACAGCACTATAATTCATCTTCTAGAAACACAGAAGGGGAAGGAGAAGAAAGATGGATAATTTAATGTCAAAGCATAATAAGGAAAAGCAACAGCAGACATATACCTTCATCATTTCATTGACTCTATCAACTCCAGAATTTTCAAGCCACAGGGAACAGAGTCGGAAGATCCACATATCATGTTCTTCTCCACTTCGTAAACAGCTGATGTAGTTCTCCACTGCTTTACACAAGAAACGTTTACGATCCTCAGTTAGGGCATGTATGGCACATTCATCCAGTTCAAGTTCTCGCTGAACCTTCACTGTATATCTATGTGAACAGACATTTTTAAACAACAAATTATCTCTTAATGAACTTACAAGCAAGGCTGTCCCTACTTCTCTTGCTTACTAATTTAACATTTTTTTTACTTGTTTTGTATGTAGAAGCACAGTAAAATAAATAACTGAGAAACCAAATTGTGGGAGCTATTTCTTTGGTGTATGTCCACACAGACCCACCACTCCAAGTAAATTTTCAGTCAGTGTCTTTTTTCTTTTTTTCATGATTTAATCTCAATACTGGTGTAAATGTGAATATCCAGTTCAGATCATTGTGTAAGGACTTCAGTTTCCAACTGCTGAAGTTCAAATTTTTCTGCTCACTTGCAATTGCTCTTACTAAATCTTTAAGAGTTCTGTATTAAGATGAATTCTACACTTTCACCAAATGCGTGATGGAGAAAAATGTCAAACATTATTTTTTACTCTGTAATGTTTTCTCTATCAAATAGACTAAAGAGATCCAGGGAATAAACGTGAATTCTGGCCCATGATCATCCATACTGTTCACCTGTTGTAACACTCCTTGGCTTAGTTTTGGCCCATGCTATCTAGCACTCTCCTAGACCACGTTCAGGCACAGTTCAGAAACTATTTGCAACAAGCACTACAGAGTTGGTCACTATTTTGTGAAGAGAAGGAAAAATTCAGCTGTAGAGATATGACCCATGCTGTACCACTTGTCCAGAGGGACAGAGAATTAGTAAAGATGGAGCCTTTGATGGCTCCATAGTAACCACCTCTCCATTTGAATGCTTACCTATTTGTCTGAACTCTGCGCTCCCTTATGAGGCCAACCTCCTCCTTGGCCTTCTTCAGTAATGCCTGCTTATTTTCAAACTCTGAGGATTTCATGTAATTCTCAATTCGCTGGTACTGATTATCTGAGAAACGAGCCAAAGACAGGAAAGCCTTCATCTTTCCTTTCTTCAGCTCGTCACTGCTGTCTCCACTGTGGCTTGCAGCAATTTCCACAGCCTAAAAGGGAAGTTACAATAATGATAAGACTGATAATCAGATTAATAGTGCTGTATAATGCTTGATTAAACTCTATTATCACAGAAAAACAGAATGGTTGAGGTTGGAAGGGACCTTTGGAAGTCATCTTGTCCAATCCCCTGCTCAAGCAGGGTCATCTGCTCGAACAGGTTATTTAATGTTGCCTATGATGGAATATATATGCATACAAAATAAAACCTACCAGGCTGCACATTTTTCGCCTAAGTGAATTTAATCTTTGAGGAGTGTTTCAGTGCAAACAGTCAAAATTATTATCCTGTATGAAACAGCTTTAATAACCATACAGGAGTCTCCTACAGCTATCTATCTTTTAGAGTAACTAAGTATAAAGTTTTACAACAGTTTTACAACCTTATATCATAAGATGGTGAGAAAAAAATAGAAGACAGTCCAAAAAGTGCCAAAAAGAGAAAGAAATTATATGTGAAAGTTTAATCATCAGAGTGAAGAAACCATGTAGAGAGTAACAGAAAAGCAACTATGTAGAGTTTCACAAATTAACATGACAAAGAAATGCAGAGTAGGCAAATATTAATAAAAATGTTTCCACTACTGACTAAGAGTTTAAAATATTACAGTACTTCGAAACACTAGAACAAGACTTTCCAGCACCAGGAAAGAGACTGCTGGGAATACAATCCCCGTACTGAAAACATGTTAAGTGAATGATCTGTCCTGAGAAGGAGAGGATGGGGATGGAGGTGGAAAAGTAAAGGGAAACAGGATTTGCAGTCATTATCACTGAACTTTTAAGCCAATATTACACAGAAGTTTCACTATGAATTCTGTAAAGCCATATTCTGAATATTTTATAAGATTACAACGTTATAAAATACTATGTGAAACGATAATATTTTTATAAGAATCCGTATTTTCAATCCAGAAAAATAAAGGCTGCATTGTAAAATTTTCTTGACATTTTAACAACATATTTTAGCACAGCATTATCTCAAAGACTGCACATTTCAAAGACTGGATGCACCTTTTCTAAGTATTTCTGCATGATGACTGTAGGGTTTTCCAAGCATGTTTCTGCTAACCAGGTTCCGCATAGCCTCAGACACTCTGTATACATCAGTTTCAGATGAGGATCATGCTCAACCTTTGAGAAAGCAAGTTTTGCAAAAAAAAGAGGGAGGCATTAAATAAAAATACTTTTTACGTATGAGGTAGGCAATTTATAAAGCTTTTAAACTCTGAATATAATTCAATCACTCGGGCCTATTATACGTAATGTATCTACAGAGTCATTTACCATCCACATCTACAGTAGTCAATAACCTTAAATCACATTCACATTCTATATTAGACTAAAGGAGAACACATATTTTTAAATACCTGACAGTTTGAACAACGAAAAACAGAATAAACCAATGACAAAATGTAATAAAAATTACATAAATTCACAGCATGTTTCCAGAATTGTATCTTCTAATATCCCCATTTAGTCTGAAGTATCATAGTACACTCTGCAGGAAACATTCAGGAATTGCGATAACTATGTGTGATCACTGAATTTTTCAGACAGACCTCTACATGAAAACTTGATTAAAAGTGCTCTGAGAAGATGATGGAGCCGGTTTCCAAAGGACTTGCCTCCAGATTGGAAGCTCAGCTTTAACTGTGTAGTAGGACAAATTTCCAAAATACTTTTAGCATAGGGTACATATTAAAGACGACCTGATCAAGATGGCACTGCTGACTGTGAAATACTGAAGGATATCATAGGCTGCGAAAACACAAAACCTCCTTATGTGGACAGGGTAAACATAACACTGGAAGGTGAGAGAAGGACTAAGTTTTTCGAGGCCCTCATCAACTGATTCATGGAGCAATCACAAAAATCAAGACAGGAGGAGCAACTCTTGATTTTTCCCTGAGATGTATGGAGAATTGGCCCAAAATTCTCCAGCTTTTCTAAAGTGTGATACTCCTTAATAATGGATTCAAAGCAAATATTTATTACCCTCCAAAAAATACCCAAAGAAAGCCATCATAGGTAAACACAAAGTTAAGGATGATGAAGAAATTTTTACCACATCAGTACACAAAATGAAGTTTTGTCCAAGTGAAAAAGAAAATATATTAAAAAAATCATAAAATATCCTGTCAAATAGAAAAATAAAAACCCACCATCAGGCTGTCCAAAAACTCCAAACAACTTGAAGAAGGCTCAACAAATATTAAAAAAGCATTTTTTAAACATATTAGGAGCAGCTAGCCACTAGACAGTCCACTTGATAAAAAGACAATAGAGTTATAAAACAAATAGTGCTCTGAGAAGATAAAGCAGAAAAAAATTAAATTATTTGCGTATGTGTTCACTGTGGAGGAGCTTGAAGAGTCCCACTGCAAAGTGTTTCTTTATGAGGGATTCAAAGGTCTGTCTGCTTTTGAATTGTCAACAGCAAAGGCTACTGAACAAAGGGACAAAATGAAAACTATCAACTTACCAGGATCAGAATGTATTTTTCTGAAAGGTCTACTGCAATTCACAGATGAAATAACTGAACTACTAAAAGAGGTATAAAAGCTTTTGCTTAAAACTGCCTTAATGTAAGAGGAGTGGCAGGTGGCAGATGTGAGACCAGTATTTTAACAAGTTCCAGGGAAGCACAGGTCAGTAAGACTTTTATCAGAAGTGGACAAATTAGCAAAAAAAAACCCCACAAAGAGAACAGATGGATTAATATGAAGAAAAGCGAGAATAGCTTTTGTAAAAGGACATCATAGAATGACAGAAAAGTCGAGGCTGGAAGGAACCTCTGGAGACCATCTGGCCCAGCCTTCTGTTGAAAGCAGGGGTTTAGATTAAGTTTTCCAGGACTCTCCTAAGATTCCATCACTTCTTTGGGCACACTGTTTACCGTGTTTAGTGGTGAAGAATTTTCTTCCTGTATCCAGATGGCATTTCCCTTGAAACAACTTGTGCCATTGCCTCTTGCCCTTTCAGTGCATCTCTGTGAGCAGAGTTACCTCCGTCTTCACTATAACTACCTTTCAGGTATTGGAAGACTGTGACTAGATCCCCCTACGTCTTCACTTCTTAAGGCTGTCACGGTTTAACCCCAGCCAGCAACTAAACACCATGCAGCTGCTCGCTCACCCCCCACCCCCCTCCAGTAAGATGGGGGAGAGAATCGGGAGGGTACAAGTAGCAAAACTTTCGGGTTGAGATAAAAACAGTTTAAAAATGGAAATAAAACAAAGTAGAACAGTAATAATAACAATGATAACAACAACAATAACAGAATATACAAAGCAGGCGATGCACAATGCAACTGCTCACCGACCACTGACTGTGTGTCACGAACAGGGGGCAAGGTCGTGTCCCCCCTGGTTTTTATACTGAGCATGATGTCACATGGTATAGAAAACCCCATTGGCCAGCTGGGTCAACCGCCCGGGCTATGCTCCCCCCCAGCCAGCTTCCCCTCCACTTGGCAGAGCATGGGAGGCCGAAAACAAAGTCCCCGGTGCAAGCACCACCCAGGAACAACCAAAGCATCAATCGGCCATCAACGCTCCTCTCATACCAAACCCAAAACACAGCACCCCCCCCAGCTACTGGGAAGAAAGTTAAGTCTGTCCCAGCTGGAACCAGGACAAGGCTGAAAAAACTCAATCCCTACAACCTTTATTCTGTCACCAAGTTTTCCAGCCCTCTAATCATTGTGGTGTCTCTCTGCTGGACCCTCTTCAATTTTTCAATGTCTCTCGAATGGTGGACCAAAACTGCATACATTATTTCAGGTGTGGGATAAGAAATGCCAAATAGAGTAGAAAAATCACACTTCTTAATCTACTGGCTACACTCTGGTGATGCAGCCCAGGACATGGTTCACGTTCATTGCTACAAGTGCACATTGTTGAATCATTTTAGCTTGCTGTTCACTGGTAAAGCTACTGTTCCTTTTTGGCAAAGCTACACCCCACCTCCCTGTAATGCTGCTCGAGATTATTCTACCCCAGGTGAAGGACTTCCCACTGATCTCATGCAATTCCTATTGGCACGATCTTCCAAACTATTAAAGTTTCTGTGACTGGTGGCTCTTCCTTCCAGAATATCTCTTTCTTTCCAGTTTGCTGTTATCTGCAAATTTGGTGAGGAAATTCAGTCCTGTCATACAGATCTCAGTCATAAAAATAGTATCAGACCCCATAACAAACTCTAAGGAACTGTACTTCTGACTGGCTACCAGGCTGCCTTTGAATCATCAACAACCACCCTTTGAGCTCAATAGTTTAGCCAGTTTTTCACCTATCTTGTGGTCTTATCTATCCAGTCTGTTTCTTACCAGCTTGTCAGGAAGGATATTGTGGGAGACTGTGTCAAATGCCTTCCTAAAATCAAGGTAGATGACATGCACAGCTCATCCCATGTCTGCTGGGCACACTGTTTCATCATAGAAGACAATCAGGTTGGTCAAGCATGAGAGTATATTTCTGTTGGCTTTTCCCAACCACCTTCTTTTCCTTCATGTGCATGGCAATAGCTTCCCTAAAGACCCGTTCTGTAATTTTCCCAGGGACTGAAATGAGTCTGACTGCCCTATAGTTTCTGATCTTGCTTTTTGTCCTTTTTGTAGATGGCTGTGATTGTCCTCTTCCAGTCATCAGGACTTCCCCTGATCTCCATGACCTTTCAGAGATGATACAAAAGTGGCTTTGACATGGTATCAGCCAACTCTCTTAGCATCCTCAGATGTATCCCATTTCCCAACTCAAGTGAACTCCTTGAAGAACTCAACAAGCAAAGGAAGATCTGTCTCATTCAGCCTACTCCAACAGATTCCAACAGTCATGTGACATGGTTCTTCTACAAAAGGCTCTTGAAGAAACTAAGTCGCAAGAAATAAAATGCATGATTCTTGGAAAGATAAAGAACTAAGGCAACAGAAAGAGAAATAAATGGGCCACTTTTTACAGTGGAGGTAGGTCACCAGTGAAAAGCTTCCAAAGATCCAGTCATCTGTGCTGTTCAAAAGATACTAATCTTGAGAAGGCGATGAGCAGTGAACACAAAATCTGGTGATGATATTGAGTTATTCAAGGCGATAAAACAAGGATAGACTGAAGAACTGTAGACAAACAACACAGGAGAATAAATGGAATGAAAAAAACCTGATGAAATTACCAGCAAAATATAAATGTTAAGTGATGCATGAAAGGGGGAGAAAGACTTCTTGTATACGACAGACCGTTTAACAGTTATTCCTGTTTGGAAATGTAACTATAAAACATTACCTCACTATGGAGAATGGAGACAGGGAACATGTGTTCAGTGTTTTTTCCAAGATCAGAACTAACATTATATGAAGATAGGGGGTGCAAAAGGAACAAAAGGAAGTGGCTCTTAGAACAGTGGGAATTAAGCTGTGAAACTCCTTGTTGCAAGGTTTTCTTGGATATTAAAAGCTTACACAGATTCAAAAAGTGATGAGACAAATTTATGGTATAGAAAACATTGGAAGGAATTACCTACAAACAAACTACCTCTGGTTCAGGAAGTTCTTGTGCTACAAATCAGTCTGGGGGCGTACTCTGGCCATACAGCCCAACTATTCTTTAAATTTTTTGTTAGGAACTTCGTATTGCCCATTACTGAGATAGGAGAGAGGGATTTTTGTTGCAATTCTTGTAATCTGAACAGGAGATGGGAATATAGTATTTGTTTCACATCAAATGACATAATTTTTCAGAAAGCTTACAAAAAGATCTAAGATAACTAAGATTCAGAGACACTTGCTGAAGTCAAATTTGATGAGAAAACATTCCCTGTTTGAGGTAAGATTCCAATTTCAGAAGTGCAACATAAAACTCACAGCTCAGTGTGCGTGTAAATGGAGGAGGATTCAAAGATGTGAAACAGCACCCCAAGTCACATCTATGTTCTTTGATAATGATTAGTTCAAGGGACAAAGTAGTCTGAGGTACAGTAGTGAATGTTTATCAGTCAAAAACTTGCCTGGAATTTCTGTACGCTTTGTGATACAATTTCAGCCCCACTGAAACAGAAGCCTCAACTCATACTCCCACCTGTGCAACAAAGATTCCCTACAGACATCAGGGAAATGCCTGCAACAGAGGTATGTTTCTTTAGCATAAAATATATTATTAGTGTCTCCTTATATTAGTCTTTTTCTACACAATAAGGACAAGAGATAAAATCTTTATCACTATTCTTCTTCTAACAAAAACATGTACACTATTACAGTTCCCAACATAATATGTATCAGAAATAGTGTGTGGCTAGCAGGAGTAGGGAAGTGATTGTGCCCCTGTACTCGGCCCTGGTGAGGCCGCACCTTGAATCCTGTGTTCAGTTTTGGGCCCCTCACTACAAGGACACTGAGGTGCTGGAGCGTGTCCAGAGAAGGGCAACGAAGCTGGTGAAGGGCCTGGAGCACAAGTCTTCTGAGGAATGGCTGAAGGAACTGGGGTTGTTTAGCCTGGAGAAGAGGAGGCTCAGGGAGACCTTATCGCTCTCTACAGCTACCTGAAAGGAGGTTGCAGCAAGGTGGGTGTCGGTCTCTTCTCCCAAGTAACTAGCGATAGGACAAGAGGAAATGGCCTCAAGTTGTGCCAAGGGAGGTTTAGATCAGATATTAGGAAAAATTTCTTCACTGAAAGGGTTGTCAAGCATTGGAACAGGCTGCCCAGGGAAATGGTTGAGTCACCATCCCTGGAGGTATTTGAAAGATGTGTAGATGTGGTGCTTAGGGACATGGTTTAGTGGTAGACTTGGCAGTGTTAGGTTTACAGCTGGACTCTTAAAGGTCTTTTTCAACCTAATGATTCTATGCTTAAACAATCCTGCCTGGCCATTAGTTTCTTTAACTATTGGCACAGAACAAGATGATACACCTCTATGTAAGAGTTTGGTTTAAAACAAGTTAATTTTTTATCAAGGGAAATCATCTCTAATTTTAAAAAGCTATATATTTCACAGTGGTGGCACTGGAGGCAAAATAATGAATAATGAATTCTAACGTTTACCACATTTGCAGACTCTCTTTGAAAACCCCGATAAGATTTGCTAATACAGATTTTTTTGCTTTCAGACATTTTGAGAGTACAAAACAGATTTAGTAATATTGCAGACAGCCTTTTAATTTTCTTCCAAGGGAAAACTTCAGAAAGTGGAAATAGGATCTTAAATTTAATCCCCGTAAGTTTATACATTATATAACACATACCTGAAACCAATCTGCATCTAATTTTTTTATCATCCTTTTAAGAATATTCAGTGCAAGACTCTCTTCCTTTTTAGCCCAGAAAACCTGAGCTTCTTCTAGTTGCCATTCAGACACTCCATATCCCGTTGGATTGTATTGTTTGATCTGAAACATAGCTCTTTCTGGAAGCTGAAATTGAAAAAACATTATAAACAATTCTTTAAGTCAAATACAAGTATCTCACAGCAAGTTTTGTTTTTAAACTCCATCTTCATTTGCTCTACTTGTGCAGCATATTCTGCCTATCCAATGCTAAGAATTTATTTGCAGCAAAGAGCTGCAATTAAAACTTTACAACCCCCCAAATAAAGTATCAATGTTTAACATTTTAAATTACTTGGAGGTATAAAGTATAGAAATTTTACAATCAGTACCTACCAAAATAATGGATTTATAATTTTAGCTTAGTGGTTATTATTACATCCTAAGAGACTGCAGAAGAATAATAAGAAAAATGGCACCACCATACACTAATTCTTTTGTATGCCTACCTCTTCACTTGTACCACTGGTGAAGTAACATCCTCATTATTTATTCTAATATCACTATGATAGTACAAAAAGCAAACTACCTTTTTAACTATGTCAAAGATCGAGACTAAAGTGTATTTTCACAAGTTGTTCAACCAATAGCCAAATCAATCAAACTTTTAAATAAGCAAGGCAAACAATTAAAATGTAAGAATGCCTGTAAATGACAATGTAAGTTTGGGTACTTCAATTAGTGGTCAGTGTGATGATTCTGTATGGAACTCTCTTCCTTCTCCTGATGGATGGTAGTGGCACCAAAGAGGAAGAAAAGCCATTAGTTGCAAAGAATGCTTCCTCAAAAACTTTCCTACATCCGGACAGTTAGTGTTGTCAACTACTAGTGTGCCAAAAGGCAAGGGTTATCATCCCATGGTTTGAAAGACTGGTAAGGCCCAGAAGTGTGCCCCAAAGGTTGCACGTGACCTACAACACTGAAGAGGCTGGAACGAGTGTGTTTTCAGAAACACACTGGCTCAATCTTTCAGAATGTTCTAATCCTCCCAAAATATGGCACCCCAATTTTAATCTTCTTCTGTAACTAAAAATCAAAGTGAAAAAAACCTAAGTTCTGTTGAGGCTCTTACAAGGCACTCATCACCACAGTGTTAGTGGCTGGGCAGGGATGAGATAAAAAAAGTCTGAAGAATTAGTTCTCCCAAACAATTCCAGAGGCACTGAATAAACCTTGCAAATTTATGAAATCAAAGACAGCTCTTCTACTGATTTCATCCTTATTCACAGAAAGAGTTAGAACCTTCCTGAAATCGGTTTAATATACTTCACATATGTGAAGTGTTAAACATACATAAACATAAGGTTCTTGAAGGATACTGTTGCTCTATAAATTCTTGTTCAGTTACTCCTCCAGATGCACTACCTAGAAAAAGCCAAGGCTGACTCTGGACCTTAAATGCATTAGCAGCTGCAGAAACCACTGATACTGCAAATCCCATTAAGTCATTCACAGTCATTACAACAGTGCAATGGTACTTTGAGAATATAAAACCTTGAAGACAACACTAAATATACAGATGCAATGGAGTTCTTTCTGCACCTTTACTCTGGAACACTACAACAGCATGATGCAAGTGAAAGCTTAATATATAAAACTGCACCAAAATAAAGTAACAGAGCTATAAGAGCATTCTTCACTAAAAATTTCATTTTTGTATTATCTACCTCATAGAGTAGCTTACAGTTACGAACAAAATTCAGAAAACATGCCCATAAATACATAGTTTAAGTCTCCAACTAATTGATTCATTGAATAAACTTAGAATACAGTTAATGTTTAGTACTGTTAAAAAATGAAATTCTTTTATAAACTAAAAAACTAAACATCCGTCACTGATCTTCCCTGGAATTTGTTACCTGTGTATTTTTAGCAGTTCTTGCCAATCTAGAGAGCTCCACTAGATGTTTGGTCAGGATGTCTTTAATACATTCTCTTTTGGTATTTTCATTCTCCTTTTCAAGCAAGATCTCCAAAATAACAGTGCGCAGAGCCATGACAGGTTCCTGGAAACGGAAGTCACTGTCCTTGAGAAGCTGGGACTGTCTCTGCCATTTCAAATAAATATCATGCAGTTGTTGAGTAGTGACAGATCTGCAATTGTTACCAAAAGAAAAAAGACCTGTTATTAATTCTCACTAAATATTAGTGAAAATGCAAGATGAGTAACAAAAGTAAACTACTGAGGTAGTTCACAATCTACAGTTCAAAACCAAGATACAGCCCATAAAACCGTACAATTATTAATATGCAGAATAAACTGTCAGGCTTCCAGTTTTAACAAACATGAGGATAAAGAGATCAACGTTAGTAAGGTGAACAACTCCACTGCAAGCATTCTTGATTAAGCACCAAAAACTGTTGTGTTAAAGGTCCACAGCAAAGGGAATCGCATTCAAACACAGGGCTGCTTAAAAGATTAGAGACCAAGATTCCTATTTTATTATGTAGGTCATATATGGATTAATATAAGAATAAATTCCAAACTGTGACATTGTAGCTGTATAGGTTCTCATTATATGTATTAATTTCTTAGATGATTCATTAACTGCAAATAGCAATCGTTCGTAAGGTCCTGGACATGCTAAATCACTGTAGGATGACTATAAGCTACCAAACTGATACAACTATAGCAGAAAAAATTCAATGTTAATAGCACTACTGAAATAAATACCTTCCTATGATTAAAAAGCAATGTTAAGAATTCAGGCAGAATACTGATGGTAATAGTAGTCCATGAAGAAAGTGATTCAAACTGAAACAACTTTCAATAGATCTATGAGTATCATCAAGGAAATGGATAACATTTTTAGAAAGGAAACTAAAAGAGGATGACTCTTTAGTAAACCAAAGGCTAGGGAATATGACTGCTATCTTGGAGTATACCAGGGAACTCAAAATAAAAGAAAAAAACAATTATTTAAAATACAATGTTGGCATAATACCAAATAATTAAAACTAGACCACGAATAAATCCAGTCTGGAAATAAAGAGAATCTAGATTTGTCTTCACATAGTAAAGCTAAAATCCTTATCATTTTCAAGATGAAGTTTGAGACGTTCATAAATAAAATTTGCTGAGATCATTTTATTTTTGTGTGAGACTTGATTACAAAAATCCTGAAAACTGAGAAAGGAGTATGAACAAGCTTAAAAAAATACCTGGAGAACAGCAGACCTATATTTTCCAACTCTCCAATTAGCTGTAGTCTGCAAAGAGTTGGATATAATGAATAAACAGACTCAAGACTACCTTTGCACAGCTCTTCTACTTCATTCACCCTATGGATTTAACAGAGAAATAGTACATTTTTTTTTAATATCCACAAGTAATTCCAAATATCCGTAACATAATTTCCATACAGTGAACAGAATTTAAACAGCAAAACTATTCAGTTCAGAATTATTTTGTATTACCATTAAAGTTCAAAAAAATTAAGTTTGTCAATAAACGAAAACACGGTAAGCATATCTAAACTCCAAAGCCTATGTGATAACTCAGCCAGAATCATAGTCAGCATTCAAATCCATTGAAGAGGACTGCAAAGTAAGGGATGTATACTACAGGAAATGTATCTTCAATTAGCACACAAATTGTATACGCACAAAAGACAAATTTAAGTTAAAAAACTTAGAAATGAAGTTGCAGTCCAGAAGTATTAATTTTATTCTATGCATGAGTTTTTATTTAAGCCCATAAAACTCCATAATAGTCTTTTATACATAACTTGTGACTATAAACACACACACACTCTCCGTCTCTCTCTGTCTCTCTAACAGCAGAATATTTGCATACAGTTACCTGGCATCTTTAAGACTGTCATAGAAAGCAGAGAATTCCTTATCTCGTAAAGACTGAAGAGCATCATACAACGATTCATGGTACCCTGGTCTTCCTGTCTCATCTCTTAAAAATAAAATAAAAGTAACATAAAATAAAAGGAAAATTGTATTTCTCTACAAAGAAGCCAATTTTATCTTTATGACAAATATTTTTAGTAATACATTTTCTGCAGTTGGATGGACTGCTGTTTTGCATGATAAAAAATAATAATGCAACCCTTTAAATTTTGAATTAACATCATGTAACTTCTGCTTTTGCCAAAATCTAGTCAAATCTATTCCTCCGAAAATGTGTGATGATGTAGCTGTACTAGGAAGGGACAGAGTTCACGCTATATCCTGGCCAGTCATATGAAATAACTAGTGCCAGGCATCCAACATTACACAAGGGAGGAGATTACTCCTTATGAGGGAGTAGCCATGAATCAACACTGGTGTTTGCTTATCCAGGTCTTGGTAACCTCTTGTGGCTTACCGAGTAATATTTTCCCCATTTGCTTATAAATTAAACATTAAAAACTATCCATCCCTCATATGTACTTAAGACACATCTACCACCTGAGTCAAAAATGGAAAAATTCAGTTTATAGTTATGAACAATCAAAAAGAAGAATCAACTGCGTACAGTCTCCCAGGAAAATGAAAAGTGATGTGCATACAAACCAGACAGGTCTAAGTGAAAAAAGACTCAATTCAATGAATAAGATAAATGAGGTGACCTGCTTCATAGAAATTATATTCTAACATCGTCTTCTTGCTTGGAACTGAAACCACTGCCTTTCACTTAAAGAACCAGCAAAAAGTAAGTCAGTTTACTTGACAGAAGAGATGTTGCCCCACTGCATATTCCTCCATGCTGCCTGGTAGCGTATTTCCTGCAGTTCCGTACACCACTCAGTGTTTTCATGTTCCAGTCCTTTTAAATACATGGAAAGAGTAAAATTCTGCAAAGCCTGGAATCACAAAATTACTGAAAGTTGGGTTTCCTCCTTCAATAAACTGAACTGTTTTTTTAAAAGGCTTTGTTTTACCTTTGGAAACAAAGAAGACTTTGCAGGTAAGGCAGAACGATAAGTACTTCTAAACTCAGCACTATATAAGATGAAAACTTTTTAATAAGACTACTAATCACACTATTGATACCCGCAATGCCAGAAAAACGGTTTCATTACTGCTGTGGCTGGCATTCTTTGAAATAAATTTCCATGTTGTGTTTCAAATGAACTATCTGCTCACATTTCTCCATTCCATCATTCCTAGGTAGTAACCAAAACTGGTTTTTACTTCTTAATGAACTGTTTTTCCTGATGGGGATTTGAAAAAGTTTCCTACAACTCCTAAACTCCTATCTGTTTGAAGACCATAATGACTTTATAATTGCAAGCACTTATGCAGCTTGTGTGTGCAGCCATTATGAAGGAGAAACACAATGGAATTTTAACAACAATACTAAGTAATTTGGGGTAGGAAAAGTAAAGTACCATAGGAAAATGAAATGAGGGGAAACAGATATATCTGTGCTATGTTATTACACAACTGGTGTAAACACTTTTAGGCTAAAAAAGCAACACATTTTTAAGGGATCAAAATAAGACAACATCAATTCTATTTGTTTATTTTATCAGAAATATCACAGTTTCAGTAAGATAGTTGCCATAATGGAGAGGTTTAAAGAATGAGATGGCAAAAATAACCAATTACATTACTTTTTATATCCTGTCATTTTAGGAGCTGGCCAAATTCTGTATAAAATTAAATATATTTATTTTGAAGTATTTCACAAAATTCATTACCCAAGATAGGCATTACAAGTGAGTGACAAGAGGACTAGAAGCCTTAACGTTTTCAGGACAAATATTGAGTTGTCTTATATTATACAGTTTGGATGCCTATGACAGTGGGCTGGACTTGATCACCAAAGAGATCTCTTTTAGTCCTAAAACAATTTTGCATTTACTGCAAATGACTCTCAGTATGATGGATATCAATTTCTACATTCATTTCCTATTATAAAATAAAATTACCTCTATTATTCCTGCCTGGCGAGTAGATGGAGAGAGGCTTGCCTCAAGGTCATATGTTACAAGGGCTTTCTCCCATACTGCTTCATGCTCATATGTTCTTATCCTGTTGTAAGTTAACAAGAAGTTTTCATTTTATGTTCCTTACTAATAAATGAAAGTAATGACTATAAAGAACATAAGAATATTAATAAATTATACCGTGCTAATGGCTGTAACATTCTTCCTCCACCGCAGCCATAGAGACTGTCAGGTTCTCCAATGCTTCTATATATGTCCATGAGAAGGTCCTAGAACATGTGCCATAAAACGAAGAATTACCTCTTCTGGAACCAGTTCAAGTGAGATTTATACATATCATGTAAGTTTATAACAAGTCCTTGCATGTAACGTTGTTATCATTGCTTAATTTTTCTTCATGCAGTATGTGAGCCTGCTATCATCACAGGAAGAAAAGTTTTGTAGTCTAGCAAAACTCTTCGGGACTACCTAACTTCTCTGTTAAGTTATGAAAAAAACCAGCACCGGGCCTTAGGTGGACTGATTGAAAAGCAAAAGGCAGTAGTACTGAATGAGCATCAGACATACCAGCTAAGCAATGCATTTTAAAGATATGCAAGCACAGTTCTGGAATAATGAACTATGGAAAGAAATAACTTAGACAAGGCTACTGAATCAGATTTCATGTATTAAATAAATTTGTAGGAGATAATACTACTTTGGTTTTCATTATTACAACTTGCTACACCACTTGCTGATTTTTAAAGAACATCTCTCTCTGACAAAAAAAACCCTGAAAAATACTTCGCTGGTTACCACCATGAGGTCAGTTCTTTCAGGGAACAAAGTCTGCTTTGCTGCGATTTAAAATTTGCCAGTTAATTTGCCAGTTTCAGGTGAAAAAATACTCAATTTAACTTGTCCGGCAAGGCCATTGAATTCACTTTGAATGAGAGCATGAGGAGAACTTTCAAATACTTTTTGAAGTTCAACTAGATCTGCCTTCAGCTCAGATGAAACCTACTGTTAATTGTAATTATATGAGGTTTCTTTCAGATTATGAAGATTATGTACCTGTAAACTTATGCCAGTTTCTTCTTTACTTTTTTCATTCAAAATAGTAATAGTTGTTCTTTGACTTTCTTCTTCAAATGTCAAACTCTTAGCTGCTTTAAAAGACGATCTAAAAGAAATGTTTCAACCGGTAAATGTAAATGAAATTTCATACAAAGAACTAAGAAATTCCAAAACAACACTTAAGAAGTAAGAGGCACAAACATCAAATGCAAGATCAGGCCTGTCATGTCCCCAGGTTATTCAAAACGGCTCTCCACCAGAATGACAAAGTGATCAGCCGAACAGCCGAACTGAGAAGATCAACAAGGGATTTCAACATCAAGGTGGTTTTTCAGAGGAAAAAACCCTCACCTTGTAATGTCTAATCTTTTATTAAATCAAATTGCTTTTTTGAATGCCTGAAGCAAGAATGCTCTCTTCTAGGAAAGAATAAAAGCAACTACATAATATATATGCTTACAACCATACTATTGTAATACATTCACTGCCTTAGTGTTGTAAACTAGTTACGTATTTTGATCTTGCTAGACCAGAAGACAAAGATAATTGTCCATTATAGAAGAAAACTCCTTCTACAAGGATCATTAAGCTCTACCCACACAATTCTGCTCATCATTCTGTGGTTTCTTTCTCCCTTTGATTCACTTCTGGCCGTAATTTAACCACTAGCACACTATTAATTATGAGAAACAGAATCTGAAAAGTGTTCAATTTAGAAAGTGAGATTCAATACATTTTAGTATTCAGAAGCACTAGCTTCAGTCAAGTTTCTCCAGAACACACACTACTATGAAAACTTTCTGGTTAGAAGTCAAAATGACACTATTTTGAGTGCTAGCAAACTAGCAAGGTTGGGATCACATTCAAGGACTGGCAGAAATATTTTCCAGGTCAATACACACACCTAAGGAATTTTTTTAAAGTTTCCTTGACTTTAAATGTAACAAAACACTACTGGGACACACAAAACATGATCCATGTTACCAAAAATGTCAAGAAACTGTGTTCCTCAAGCCTTGTACCTTTCTTGCTGTTTGTCTATATTTATCTTGTCTGCGTAGATCTCTGCGTAGAGCAAGGCTGTGAAGTGAGCAGCACAAGACTGTGCTGCTATAGCAACCTCAAGATAATTCAGATCTAACCAGAAGCTGTCATCAAAAACTGTACCTGAAACAGATCTGATTAAATAAAGATTTTAATATAGCTGTAACAAACCTTCTCTCTAACATTAAACAAAATAAATCCAATCTAACTATAAAGCCTTCCAAAGACTAATTTTATCTTAGTCCCGCCAAAACCCATACCACAAAAAGTTTATCAGACAAAAAGTTTTAAAAAAACTCCTTCAGCATAGTTAGAACTCTTTACGGCTAGCCATATCACTTCTGTAAGAAATGCAAGGTCACTACTATATCTTCATTCTTTTAATTGACATGTTCTCTACCACATCCTTCCTCCTTAATCTAGAGCATCAATAGATCTTAGAACAGTCATAATTAAATTAAAGCAACATTTGGAAGTTATAATTCACCTCTTTTGTCTTCTTAAGTAATCAACAACTGCAAGCATGGCTCGTCGAGATACTTTATCCAAACTTCTAAAATTATGGGTTTCTTGCTCTGGGATGTATATTTCGAAAGAAAGAATATAATGAACTTTTGTCGTAACATATCCATTTACAGAATAAAAAGGTGTATTTTGTACTCAAGAAAATAACTAAAAACTTCCTTCCAAAATTAAATTACCGGTTTGTCACAAAATGTATTTCCCCTCCTTCTATGATGTTAGTAACATTACAGTAGTTTATATCGCAATTTTCTTTATCAAATTATCTTTGCATTGATAATTTGTGGATTTTGTTTCTTCTTATAGAATTCAGACATGATCCAACATCATTGCACAAAGCTCCATAACAGACCTCTTCCCTTAGGCTTGAGCCATATAAAGTTATTCCAAAGCCACAGAAATACTCATTAGTAGCTTTATTGTAGATTTTATAGAGTGTGTATGCTTATACGTTTTTGTATTTGCAAGTAGTGCAGCACTTGGGGATGGATCTGGAAAGCAAAATGTCATGTTGCATGGTGTATCTCCCACACATAGACACATGCTTTTAAAGAATTTATATTTCCATGCCTTGCTTCTGGATTGAAAAAAAATCAGATGGCTACAAGGTTGTGTTCTGGTCATTGGGTGAACATTTTTTAAATTTTTCTGGACATTTTTAATTTATAAATTACAAGAAGCAAGAAATAAGGAAAGCATAAGCAAAGGTTTGATTACTACTATACTACAGTAAGATGCAGAACTAGAAATTTCCCCTAAAGAAAGCAAAACCCATGTAAAAAAAGAACTATCTGGGCATTTCGTGTGTTCCAACAAACAGAAATGAACAATGCTTACTTTCCACTGCTACCAAAGACCTTATAGAAGGAACACAAACTCCTTCTTTATAAGTCATCTCCCACATGCTTAACTTTCAAAAGACATACAGTGGGGACATCTGACTCTCAGTTGCTAACGCACCATGATGTTTTGCTTTCCAGATCCATCCCCAGCAAGTAGTGCTGCACTACTTGCAAAAGTAGACATAGTGTCTCACAGGCAGGGTCCATTCTGTTAGCACTGTACAGTCAACGCCTCAAATAGATTGCTACTTCCTCTTTCATAATTTGATCAGATGAATAATTGAAAATTTCTGAATTAATTATATTTGGGTACCAGAAAGTATTAACGAGTTAGGGGAAGGAAAAGGCACTGGCCAAGAAAACTGGAAGAAAAAAGTTATTCTTCAGGATTTGTTGAACAGACCAAATGACTATAATGGTAAGTATAAGCTGTCAGCATGGTGCTCATACTCACTTGCTAACAAGAAGCTTACATACAGAAAACGAAAATGGTCTCTGTTTTTTCATGGCATTAGACAGAAATTCTAAATTCTAAGGAGAAATAACTAAACATGTATTTTGAAAGATTCATTCAATAAAAAATTACATCTCTTCTGCAAAATAACAGATTCAACTGACATGATTCTGGCCAGACTGACATGCACTTCATTTTTAGTTTGGTGGGGTCTGACTCTTGTCAAGCAGCTGGCAATTTACGATTAGGTTTGTTTTCTCAGGCAGAGCAGTGATTGGCATGATGTTCACACTATTTATGTTTTAAATTGCCAAGATTAACAGCCAATTTCTAGAACTTGCATGTCAAAATGGATCAACAGGAAGACTCTTGCTCAGAAGCACTCAACTCTCTTATGTCTAACTGCTTGGTCTTTGCCACAGTTTGGATCCTGATGGATTGGAATGAAATTTATCTAGGTTTTCTAGGAAGATTTTTCTCCTTGTTTTGATAGGGTAAGAGTTTCTCCTTGAAGAAACTGGTAGTCACCAGAATTTTAAAATTTTTGTTTTGAATACTGCTGATGTTCTATCATTCCAACTTTGGAATTAACCTATCTTTGCTCTGTTCGCTAGTGCACCTCCAGTTTATCTGTACACAACTACACAGACAACGAGCTGTGTGCTATTTCATGGGGGTTTTTTTTGGTACCAGGACAGGTTTTTGTCTGAAGAACTCCATTTAAAGCTTTTACAGGTCTTTTATTTTGCTCTTATTGCCTCAGTAGGATCCCTTGCATAGAATCACAATGTTTGAAGAGGCCTCTATCATTTGCTCATTGGCGTCAGTGAACTAACTGAAAGTTTATAAAAGTTAGAAAAACCCCTTTATATTTTTCATAGAACATTTTGGGTTACTCTGTACATCTGCGATAAATTTGTGCAGTCATTTCCCTGGCTGCTTACAGGAAGGAAATAGGAAATTGTTAATCCTTTTCTATCTTACAAAGTGGGACGATAATAAAAATACCTGGATTGTGGGAACAGCTTGTTACCTGACTTAAAAAATGTGAAAGAATACTGCTCTAGTCTTTCTGGCCAGGCTAGTCAGCATCTATAAAAAGTACCTTAAAATATACCTAGTATCGTTAGGCTTATTTACACCACTCAGTACAAACTGCAATACTAAGGGTCCCTTTACCTCTTGCTTGCATGACTTGCCTGTAAAGAGACTGCAAGACATTGTACAGACTCATTCCTTTGGTGATTTGTCACTGAAGAAGGAATTTGGAAGATATAGCAGAGTAGCTACTGCACAAAAAAATATTAACCTGAAGTTACTGAAGTTACTGTCTAATAACAAAGATCTTATTTTTCACACAGATTTCTGCTAACTTCAACCACAATCTAATTGGAAAGGACACCAGCCAGCTTGATTAGAAGGTGCTTTGTTTTTAATGGAACTTACTGCATTACTCACACTCATCTGCAGTTCTTTTGGTTACAACTTCCTCTCATTCTGCTGGAATGGAACAGGTCTTTTGAATGTATCGACATTAACTTGCTAAAGCAAGGGTTAGTCTTTTTTCCAAGGGGAAAATCCAGGTGAAAACTGCCTTTAATTGCTCTTGTTTGAGTAAGAGAGGAATTTAACTGCCAATTAGTCATTTTGAGAGACAGTCCAAGACCCAGGATTGCAGCACACAACATTGGATCACATCTAAATTCAGCAAGTAATAAACATCAACCAGTTGTGAATAAGGAAATAAGCTATACAGAAGAAACTACTTCGGTGCTGCCAATGAACAGCTTCAAAATTACTTGCATCTCCACTGAAAAAGATCAAACAATTGGACAGAAGCGTCTAAAATTCTGTCTGCACATCATACATTTGATGTCAGAAGATAATTTTTTCACAACCAGAATCCCTATTTCAGCTGAAACAAAAATATTATGACATTACCTGAATCGGAATTTGGAGGTGTAGTAGATCTACTAGATGAGGCAAACCTGCAACAGGCTGTAAAAAACTTCTGGATATGAGCTGACAAAAGATTTCTCCAAGATTCATCTGAGTCATTAAGAAGGATATCATGAATCAGGTATGGAAGCAAAGTTTGACACAAGTCTGTTTTCACCTAGAAAACAATCATGCACAGCAGCTGCTAAGAAAAACAACCAAAATCCTTTTTTTCTCAGGTTGTAACCAAACTGACAACTACTCAAACAAACATGTAATGCTTGAGAAAGAACATGTAATATGAAAAATGTAAACCACTCAATAGGGCTATGCTGGCATTCAGTTAAAGTAGTCATATAAAGTTCATCTATGTTTACAATTATCTCTCAAATCTTGTATTTCAAGAGTGTATTTTATGGATATCTGCAATACCTAGCTATGAAGGATTTGAATTACTGTTAAGAAAAAGCAGTAACTTAATAGCAGAAATTACTATTTGCTATCAAGATGAGTAATCATATATTTTTGTGCATCACAGTGCACAAACATATACATATATACATACATATAATTTAGCTCACCTCACATAGCGGCTTCATTAACTGGAGAACTTCATTTTGCACACCTCCACTGTCCAGTATTGAACTAGTTAGGCGCTTGATCCAGGTCTCATGACTTTCGCCCAGAGGAATCCACAGGTTTGTGTCATCCAAAGTTTCTAAAGAAGCCTCTGTATCATTAGCAGCTACTACAAAAAACTAGAAGGAAAATACATATATTGCAAATATGAATAAATTCTATGGCATTTTAAAAAAATATACTGCAATCTGCACAGATTAAAACATATTAAATATTAACTGTGCTTTAATTGATTGACAATATCAATTTTATTCATGTAAACGTAAAGTTTTCCAAGGAAATCTGAAAGTATTAAAAATAAGATTTTACTGATAACATCAACACCAGACATCACATTTAGGCCACATCAGACATCACATTTAGGTTACAAATCAAACGCTTGACAATTAGGAAATATCTGATTTATGGTTAATTATGCACCTTTTTTTCTGACCTATTCTCCACTAAGTTTTTGCATCAAATGATACTGAAATCCTGAGAAAGAATGTACTAGATTACCAAGTAGGTAATCAAAAATTGTCTTGTCTAATAATGAAAGTACACAGCTTTCTTATGTCAAACTGGTAATTTCCTATGTGAAGAAGCCACAAATGCTGAAACAGAAAGGAGAAACAGATGTACAAAAGCAATCACATTTGCAATCAGACTGATGAAAAGTCCAAATTTTGCATTCATCAAAATTATTTTCAAATTTACTTTTTTGAAATATATATTTTTATGTTTTCTCTACCCGATATGCCATATAAATAAGGTATAGCAGAAGAAGTACCTTTTTCCTAGACATTCTGAAGGGCTGTAGATAGATTAACATGGGATCAGCTTTATTTTTATAAACTTCCCAAAATTCACTGCCAGACTTGGTGGCTAATACGTTTTTCAAACAGGAAACAGCAGCAGCTCTAACATCAATACTGAAAGAATAACACACACATCATTATTATTAATTTCATTCAGATATTTTATTTTCAAAATCACCTTTATAAACATGCAAGACAAATAATTCCACAATCTAACAATGTGTGCATCAAATCAGAAAATTTTGGACTAGGATATGCCATTGCGTATTTTGTTATAAAGCAAAGCCTCAGTATTTACTCCACAGCACTGCTATCCTCTACAGCACAGAAGAGACTCTCTGGCTCGAGTCCAACTAGAGAATTTCTAAGAAACATCTAAGCTTGACTGGATAAGTAATCAGAGCCTTAAAGAAGCACATGGTTGGACATTAACAGGTGTTAATAACACTTTCACAGTGTTACTCTGAGGTTATTTGAACAATGTACAACTTAATGGCTCCTATTAAGCTTTGAACTAAATAAATTAAAGAAATAAGTATACTCACCAATTATCTGTTAAAGCAGTATTTATTTGAGTTAACATTATGAAGACCCACTGAAGTTTTCTATCTTCAAGTAAGTCCACTGCTTTAGAATCCAGTGCATTTTCAGCACGCTGAAGAGCTATGGTAGAGAAATCCATGGGACCTATTTCTCCCAAGCAACTTCCAACAGCCTCTGCAAATGCAGGTAATTTTATAGTCTTATGCACACTAAAACAAGGCCTCACCCTAAAAAGTTGCCATTAATATAAACTACTTTTAGAACTGAGATTATTATGGGCTAAAAAGCTGCAAACATTTATAAATAATCGCTTGAGGAGCTTTTAAAACAACATGGATACAAATTTTGCAGCTTAAGACTCATAAATAATAGTTATGCTCTCTAACTCAATTTTCTAGGAGTGCCTATGGCTCTGGATTTTGCAGTTTAAATCAGACATGGATTTTATTTTTGCTTGTGTAAGAAACAGGTAAGTGCAAAAGGTCAGAATCACAGCCACGTAAGAGACACTCATTTTCCTTCCCGAAGGGTACAATAAATACCAACAGTAGCCTATGAACACAAACACTAGCCTGTACGCTCAGTAAGAATTAACCTACATTTTACATAAAATTATGTATAATGTATTCCTTATTTGCTTTCCAGACAAAATATTTTATAAAAACACATGACTACAAGTAAGAAAAAACAAAACAAAACTGATCTTGAAAGTAGTTTTAAAAAAGGGATGTTAATGTTTGTCAGAAAGAAACCAAGATCTATTTCCCTGCTCTTACCTCCATACTCGACACATGTCTTGAAAACATTTCCATTTTCTACAACATTGTTTTAACCACCAGAGCAAATAAAGAACAGAATAAAGAAAAACACAAACAGGTTGTGTTTTGAACAACATTTAACAAATCATCTAAGAAAACACAATGCAGAAAAGGCTGAAACTTACAGCTTGCAGAGGTGCTGAAGAATGTATCATACTGAAGTCAATGTGAGCTTCAATTGCTCAGCATTTGTAATTATCAGTTATTAGACTTTTAGACAAAAAATATATTAAGGCAAATGTTCTCATTACTTGTGTTTCTGTCTAGTTTTGACATCTAATTTCAGTAAACATCACCTTCATGGAGGTACTACCCACTTGGAGAAGAGGAGATTTGGATTTTAGCTTTGGATCAAACATTAATCAGGTGCTCAGTGTTAACAGTGAGAATAATTTTAGTAATACATAAGAGGCTTTAAGATGGAGAACAACTATTTTAATTTCCACTAAGACATGCCTTTCAAATTTTCAGATAAGTTCTCTTCAACTTTTCTTACTATTTTTCAACCTAATAAAGTGACCCATATAACTCTTTATTGAGTCATCTCTATACTTTATTGAGTATAGAAGTGACCAGGGTGTAAACTGATGACAATTTAAGTTATTAGTCAAAGCTGTAAAATACAGTGACTGAAAAGAAGACATTTCACCCATTTCAACATCCTGATGGCTACCGCTGGCAGCAAATGCAAAATAGCAGTGGGAATTAACATTGAGAACAGCCACAGTTTCAACCTGGAGTTTGCAATGACAGCCCTAAGATGCCTGTTGGACTAATTAACTTACCCAGCACTGCTTTTTCACCTGCATGGTTAACTGCCATCTTGGACAGCTGCAGTAAGCTCACCACCAATTTCACTACTACAGAATCTTCTGGTTTTTCTATAATTTAGCAAGAAAAATAAACCCAAAAAATGTCATTGTGTATTTGTAACGTGAACATATTAGAAGAAAACACTGCTTCAGTATCTTTTATCTACAAATGTCAACATGCACTTTTAATGTCGAAGCAAGTTGGTATTAAACAGTACATAAAAAAAATTACTCATTTTTCTTATTCATCACGTCTTGAAAAAATTTCTGTGCATTTGACTATGCCAAAGAATCCCCAAAACTAGAATATACAAATGCTATTATTTTCAGTGTTTCGATCTAGAAATGATAAATAAATAAATGAAATATTAGCATAAGAGTGTAAGAATGTTATTTGAAACAGTGAAGTCATACTATGCAACTCTACTGACAGCACTTAAGCTAATATCATTCTGTTCTAAATCCGAATCCAAGGAATATCCCAAAATAAGGCTTTCTGCCACAAATTTCACAGAACTCAAGCTTTCAATTGCCTAATTAACTTTGCCAAATTATACACTCTCCAGATGGCTATTTCCTTACATATTTGCTGCCTGCCTAAGGCGTTTTTTTTAAACAAAGATTCCAAATGAAATGGTTTTGCTGTTTCCAGGAACAAGGTCGAGGAAAAAATACAGAATCATAGAATCATAGAATCATTAAGGTTGGAAAAGACCTCTAAGATCATCGAGTCCAACCATCAACTCAGCACCACCAGGCCCTCCAAACCATGTCCCTAAGTGCCACATCTACATGTCTTTTAAATACCTCCAGGGATGGTGACTCAACCACTTCCCTGGGCAGCCTGTTCCAAGGCCTGACCACTCCTTCAGTAAAGAAATTTTTCCTAATGTCCAATCTAAACCTCCCTTGGCGCAACTTGAGGCCATTTCCTCTCGTTCTATCACTTGTTACTGAGGAGAAGAGACTGACACCCACCTCGCTACAACCTCCTTTCAGGCAGTTGTAGAGCGCAATAAGGACTCCCCTGAGCCTCCTTTTGCTCCAGACTAAACAACCCCAGTTCCCACCCACACAAAATATGATGATTTGCCAGTGTAAAAAAAACCATAAAAGCAGTATTTGCTTTAAAAAAAATCCTGCTGCCCTGTTGACTGGAATGGAAATGTGGAATTGGGCTTTATGCTTATTGACATTTTTATAAAAATGAATATACATGTCACCAAACTGCAGTAGTTATTTCTTAAATGTTATCTTTCAGCACACAGTTTTATAGCCTTTATCAATAACTGTTTTTTACTTCTTTTTCACACCCAAAATAAAATAATAATAATAATAATAATAATGATGATGTTGTTTGTAAGTGCTTAATGGACTTTTAGTGTAAGGCAAAATTAAGGGAACAGGCTCATCAAGCCTGCTAGCCTGCCTCCAACAGAGCAAGAGTAAGTATTTCTTCTCAGGTTTTGCCAGTCAGCAGATTGGGGATTTCTGAGCAGATCTTCATACCTAATAATCTCTATGAGATATGTCTAACTCCTTTTAAGGTCCATTATGCTTCTCATCTTCACAGTAAGTGGCAGTAAGTTCCGTGCTGTATATATTTTGTTTGAAAAAAATACATGGTTTCTTTCGTATAACTGCTGCCAGATAATTTAATCTGTTCTTGTACTGTGATAAAAGTGGTAAGTGCTCCCTACTTAGCTTCATCATACCATTCACCAGTTCATACACCTCTCTGTATTCCTATTCAATTTCTTCTCCAAGCTCACAAGACTCTCTGCTGATGGAAGTTGTTCCACACAAGCTTGTTGCCCTTTTACTAACTCTCTTTTCAAGCAGAATTTCAAGATTAAAATTGTAAATGATATTCAAGATATGGGGACACAATGCACTTACACCATGACCTTATGACAGACTATTATTCTTCCCCAAATTTTTGCACTTTTTTGCAATGAATTACATCAGCTCTTTTTATCTTCCCGTCATGCACACAAGCTAATGAAGACTTGATGTAGAGGAGAAAAGTAAAATGGTCTGGCACAAGCATCTGAAAACCAAAATAGGAAGGAACTGGGTCTGGACTGAGGGCTGAAACAGAATGCTGGGATTCTGTGAGTTTTACTTTCTAACATACTATGCCTTTAATAAAATCTAGCTTCGTTACATTTAAAAGACTAGGGAGATTCACATACAAGAAAACTCACTAAGCAGCCATAAAGCAATATACGTTATCCTGGTCATTCACAATCGTAAGTGCCCCATGCCAAAAGCTGGAAGGGCATTTTATCCTCTCTGCCATGTAACACCTCATATAATATTTATAATACACTCTGCTAAAGATACTTTAGTTTCACATGAATAATAAATGTCATTCTACTCTGCATGTGAAATTATATAATAAGGTTACATTGTTAAACCGAGAGACAAAAAAACCCAATGTTGAATTAGAATAGGGTTACATCACTACACACCTAAAACCAGATACAAAAGCAAATACATAATCAGATGTCAGTACCCTGGAAATTCTTCAGGAGATCCTTCATCTGATCTTTATATTGTTCCAATTGTTTGCGTAAATCGTACAGTCCTTCAAGTCGTGTTAAGGGCAGTGAATCACAAACACCAACTGAGAGAAAGTGATTAATTTCCTGCAAAACAACATTTTGTATTAAGCATATATATATATATATAAAAAATATAGCATACAAATAAAGGCTTCAAGTAAAGAAGTGGTTCTCAGCAGTCCACAATGTAGATTATTAATAGATGCAAAATAAGAATGGAGACTGACAAATATCTCAGTGTCTGAAACTGGCAATAAAAAGAATCCATATGTCTAATTTAAATCCTTCTCAACTATACCTATAGCTAGAAAATTGTTTTTCTTTTGAAAGTTTGCATTACAAAAACCACTATGCCATGAGATACATTTTAAAATGTTAATTACCTCCAAAAGAGAATACGGTCCTTTACTGTACTTTATCTTCTGTTGAGTTGCTCGCAAATCTTTAAAAGCAGGATATTCAGGAAAAGGATCTAAACATTTGACTGCTTGGTACAGATTTTCATTATCTTTGTTATCTATCACCAGATACTTCAACAAGCCTAGGACCTAAACATAAAAAGTAAATGAAAAACAAAAAAGACAGAGAAACATTGTTGAGCCATACTTCTTATTCAGGTTACAAAGTCTGTATTTCTCCAAGTTGCATTAAACTGAGAACTCTATAAAAAAGTGGTAAAATAATTTATTTACACTGTTAAAAATTATAAAATGTTTAGAGGCTTGAGGAAATCACAGATATATTCTGAAATGGTGACGTGTTTTTGCTGCTCCCTCTCCCAAACAGACATCAAAGCTTTTATTATTACGGCCTGCAGTTTTATCCTGTCTTTTGATAAAGCTGATTTCAAATACTGGCCAATACAATCATTAGAATATTGGCAATGATTTAGCAGCACACTGCACCCAAGCAGTCCTTCCGATGTTATTAGGACTTTATTATTCTTACTAACTAAAGTGCCGGTAATTTGAAATCCGGACAAATGACTAAATATCATCATTTACTGCCCAAATCACTGAACTCTGGCAGAATTTGTTTTATAACAGATCTACATCCTGAATAAATGCTTGCTAAATGGGTACCATACTTTCTTTGCAAAAATGCTGCTTTTATGCTTTACTTAAGAATCAATGCAATTGGATATTCAATCCAGGCAGCTTTGAGGAGTCTACAATCTAAATGTTGAGGTTTTTATTTGGAGACTTGTATTTACCTGAAAATGTTTATCTAGCCTCCATTCAATGCTAGAAGAAAAATAAAGAGAAGAAACTGAAAAGTGATCACTAGAGGAAGGACTTCCCTTCAGGACTATGATATGAGAAGGTTTCATATATGATATCAGTTCCAATTCAGAGAAATTTCTGCCCTCCCCACTTTGTTTCTGCCCAGGGATGCGCTGACATGTTGCCTTTGCAGTTGTGCATGTACGACTGTTTGCACAGACATATTATAAATCTGATCATGATCATTAAGCTGGGAAAATGATTGCCAGGTTATTTTCAGCTGGATCAGCAAGCCCTCCAACTGAACTGGAAGTACAAGGAGGAGGACAATGTAGGGCTACACTGCAACCACGAAGGTGCATACAGTACCACGGGATCAGATTAAGCCAGAAGGCAACCATGAGGACCTGAAGTGCAACAGGCATACTCTTCTCACCTTCAGCTACTAATTATAAGTCTCTGAATCTAAGTATATTTCCATCCCCAGCAGAATGCACATGCAGATCATCACCAGAAGGAAAACGAGGCTTGTCACATAACAGAAACTGCTTCATTTCCCTTTTAAGGCTTATGCGCTACATTTATTTTTAATGATAATTTGTTAAATAAATAGCTGAACTACTGAAATCTGTTCTTTGCACATATTTCCTCTTGGTCCTCTAGACACCTTCCCCTTCCAAAGGTCTTCATTGTATTTCCTGTGAAATCATCTACAGAGCTTTGTAGGTAACTGCTTGGCTACTCGTGTGCTTGTACTGATTAGCTTGCCATCACCAGCAGTTTACCAATGCCTATGTTCGCTCTATCTTTTCCTTAGTGGTACCTGATTTGGTGTCTCTACTCAACTAAGGTAACAATTTTTCTGAAACTTACCCTGAAGGTTTTAAATCTCTTTCAGATTTGGCTGAAAAAGGCGCACAGATTCAAAGCAGACATAAAAGACATTACAACACCATTAAAGCTCTTTAAGAAATCTGATTTTTTATAGACTAAGTAAATAGAGAATTAGAAAGTAAGTGATACAGTAATCTCAGCAATTATGATACAAATACATCTTAATCACTGTTTAAAGCCATAGGAATTAAATATGGAATATTTAAATATGGAAACTCCCTGGACTGGTACAGCCCTCTGATTACTACCCGCTCTTGGTTATACAGGCGGGCAGCGAGGAGGTTGCAGAGAGAAGTCTCGAAGCGATCAAAAGGGACTTCAGGGCACTGGGGCGATTGGTGGAAGGATCAGGAGCACAGGTGGTGTTTTCCTCAATCCCTTCAGTGGCAGGGAAGAATACTGAAGGGAACAGGAAAACTCATTGGATCAACACATGGCTTAGGGTCTGGTCCCATCGGTGGAATTTTGGCTTCTTTGATCATCGACGGTTTACACAGCACTGGGCCTGCTGGTGACAGACGGAGTTCAGCTGTCTCATAGGGGGAAAAGGATTCTCGTGTGTGAGTTGGCATGGCCCATCAAGAGGAGCTTTAAACTAGATTCAAAGGGGAAAGGGGATAAAGCCAGGCTCACTGAAGAAGAGCCTAGGGGTGGCATGCCAATATTGGGGGCGAAATCGGTAGCCCAGCTCAAGTGCATCTACACCAATGCACGCAGCATGGG